TTAAAAACACATTTTATTTATACACTTACCATTAGAATAGTTTACAACCATTTTTAAGATAAAGACAATTAGAACAATTATAGATTAACTCTGAATTTAGTAACTTCATTTGCATTGTACTATGTTTGATTCATTTTCTGTTCAACATTACATAATGATATAGAGTATCCTATAGCAACGTCAACAATGGACAATTATGACGTCATATACAAGATGCCAGTTTTTTGTACTTCAGGGGTTCTAATTTTGTATATTTTGTCCTGATGACGCCGATCTAATCGGCGAAACATGTCGACAATAAAAGATGTAGTTTACTTAAGTGTTGTTGTCAATGTAGCGGTATTTGAATTTTAAACTGACAACCCTGCATACCATCTGGTATCCACTTAAGGGAACTCTACCAGCACAAAACATAGGAGGCGTTGGTTCAGCAGCTCTTTATTTATTTATCAAAAGATGGAAAAAACTTGAACAGAAGCTTCTTCATTATTATGGTTACCTAATGGTCTAGGTTGTTCATTCATGTTGATCACTAGTCTGTCAACACACAGATTGTTGGTTTGAAACCCTTCCTGTGTCTGGTTTGCTCGTCTCCAATCTTTATTGGCTAGGATTTTTTTCAGAATAATTGGAATACCCATTTTGGAGTAATTGCCCCTGAAATGTCAATTTTTAGTAAATTGAAGTTTTTTGCTTATATGATGATATTATATCTCAAAAACTAAAGCAGTTAGTGTAAATCTAACATAGGTGGAATTGATCAGAAGGTCAAGGTCTATATCTTGTGGAATTTTCTGAAAAATCGGACAAACAATTTTGGAGCTAATGCCCCTGAAATGTCAATTTTTTGGAAATTTTGCTTTTTTTTGGTTATTATCTTGAAAACTATAGCAGATACAGAGAATTTTAAACAGTATAAATGAACAGGACAATCAGATCTACTCATAAGTCAATGAAGCAGAAATTGCAAATAACCTCTATAGGAATTATTGCCCTTGAAAGACTAATTTTACTAATTTTTTGTGTTTTTTGCAGAATCTATAATAGATTGATAGAAATTCTCGAAGCAAAATTGTTCAGCAAAATAAGATCTACAAAGAAGTCTTCTTGGTTGAAATTATCAATTGACCACTTATAGGAGTTCTTATTGCCCTTGAATAATGATTGTTATCCATTTTTTGTCTCGCCTTGACGGAGTCAAAAAGCGAGACATAGGTATGCTGTTTCCGGCGTCAGCGTCAACAATGTATTAGTTTGTGATTAGGTCTAATTCATGGTGATCCACTAGTGGTAGGTCAATGATATTTGGTATGCAGTTGTATTAGCATTGGCACATCTCATTACCATGGAGATTATTTGGCCCCGCCCCCTCAGTCAAGGTCTATTGACTTTGAAACTTTTCATAGTTTTCATGTATTAGTTTGTGATTAGGTCAATTTATGGGGAACCACTAGTGGTAGGTCAATGATATTTGGTATGCAGTTGTATAAGCATTGGCACATCTCATTTCCATGGAGAATATTTGGCTCCGCCCCCTTAGTCATGGTCTATAGACTTTGAAAATTTTGCTAAGTTAACATGTATTAGTTTGTGATTAGGTCAGTTCAAGGGGAACCATTAGTGGTAGGCCAATGTTAATTTGTGTTCAGTTGTATAAGCGTTAGCACATCTCATTTCCATGGAGAATATTTGGCCCTGCCCCCTCAGTCATGGTCTATTGACTTTGAAACTTTTGCTTAGTTTACATGTATTAGTTTGTGATTAGATCAGTTTAAGATGAACTGCTAATATTAAGTCAATGATATTTGGTATGCAAATGTATTGGCATTTGCAAATATCGTTTCCATGGAGATTATATAGCCCCACCCCTGATCATGATTCATTGACTTTGAAACTTTTACATAGTTTACAAGTTAATGTTTGTGTTTAGGTTTGTTTAAAGGGAACAACTTATAATAAGTCAGTGGTATTTGGTATGCAGTTGTATTAGCATTGGCACATCTCATTCCATGGAGATTGTTTAGCCATGTACCTTCAGTCATGGTTCATCGACTTTGAATATTTGCATAACTTACATGATAAAGTATTGCTATTTTAATTTCAAAATTTGCATTATCAAAATTACAAAAAGGCGAGACATATCTCTGTGATAACAGTTTATCTTTTTTTGCAAAAACCATTTATAGATATAGAGAGAAATTTTAATAGTAAAGATGTTAAGCACAATAAGATCTACAAATAAGTCCTCATGTCCAAAATTGTCAACTGACTTTTTAGGATTTATTGCCTTTTCACCCATTTTATGATTTTTGTCTCGCCTGCGATAGCAAGACATAGGGATTGCTTTTCCGGCGACGGCGTCAACAATTGTTAAGTTTTCTGCTTAAGTTAGTTTGATAGGAACTAATTGTGATAGATCATTGATATTCACTATGAAGTTGCATTACTATCAGTACATATCAGTTTGACAACTATTTTGAGGCCCTGCCCCCTAAGAGATGGTCCAGTGACTTTGAATTAATAAGTAATTTTCAATGTTAAGTTTTTTGCTTAAGTTAGTTTGATAGGATCTACTTGTGATAGATCAATGATATTTTGTATGAAGTTGCATTACTATCAGTACATATCAGTTTGAAGACTATTTTGAGGCCCTGCCCCCTAGGACATGGTCCAGTGACTGAATTAATAAAATAATCAGTACAAGGCTAAGACACGGGTTATGTTCTTCTCATATATTTTATGATGGTATAATACTAAACCCCTAACAGGAGGGATTGTGCCTGATATTCATATGATGAAGACATAATCTTTCAATCAGTTTAATTGAGGTCTGGAGCTGGCATGTCAGTAACTGCTAGTAGTCTGTTGTTATTTATGTATTATTGTCATTTTGTTTATTTTCTTTTGTTTCCTATTCTGACATCGGACTCGGACTTCTCTTAAACTGAGTTTTACTGTGCGTACTGTTGTACGTTTGTTTTTTCTACATTGGCTAGAGGTATAGGGGAGGGTTGAGGTCTCAAAAAACATGTTTAACCCCGCCGCATTTTTGCGCCTGTCCCAAGTCAGGAGCCTCTGGCCTTTGTTAGTCTTGTATCTATGTTAATTTTAGTGTATAATTAGGAGTTTAGTATGACGTCCATTATCACTGAACTAGTATACATTTTTGTTTAGGGGCCAGCTGAAGGATGCCTCCGGGTGCGGGAGTTTCTCGCTGCATTGAAGACCCATTGGTGGCCTTCGGCTGTTGTCTGCTCTATGGTCGGGTTGTTGTCTCTTTGACACATTCCCTATTTCCATTCTCAATTTTAAATCTTCTTTCTAGAATCAAGAAATCACTCCCACTTTAAACACATAAATTGTACTTCAATGGATACATTATTCCTATTTTGGATTATCTGATACACTGTTTGAAAATCGATGTTGGCTTAGATTTATGGATCTTTTCAACTACCAAAAGAGTTACAAATATGTACATAGCTTATATGGATCGGTCCCAGATTATATGTCAAACAAGATCTATGTAACAAATAGAAATAGAATACAACTAAGATCAAACACAACTCAATTCTCAGTTTACAAAGGCAGTCACAAACACATTTAAAAGGTCTTTTGCATTCTCTGGTCCAACTTTATGAAATAAACTTCCAGAAGCACTAAGATATCAAATGTCAAATATAAATACTTTCAAATCAAATTGTTTCAAGTTTTTACTGTATCATCCAGGAATTATTAAATGTATGTATTATATGAACAATTTCTTCTGTATAATACTGTGAATTAATTATTATTCGTTTGATACCAATTTTTGTTGATATCGTGGTTACAGAGGAACCACGAATTGAAATGTTCAACAAATTACAAATTTTCTATTGGAATGTATGCAGACTTTGGCAAAACCACGAAATCAAATATCCATGAAAATGCAAGTTTTCCTCAATCCACAAAAATTTGTACCTATGAAAATAAATGAATCCCCAGTATATAATGTTATCTTGGTTATGTAAAATTTAGTGTGATACATTTTGGGTGGAGTGTGAGGGCCTCAAGGTAGAATAGTGTTTGTACTAATTGAGCTTACCCTCTTCAAATAAAGATTATTATTTTTATTCATGGTTAAGCAACAATGTTCAAGTATTGAATGATTGCAAGGCATACATGTATGTCTGGCAGAGTTCATCTGACCTTGACCTCATTTTCATTGTTCATTTGTCAATGTTAAGTGTGTCAAAGTTTTCTTGGCTTCTATGAATTGGAATGATTTAATATTTGGCAGGGTTTATCTGACCTCGACCTAATTTTCATGGATCATAAATAGACTTAGTTTCTTGTTAGTCAACATAACCCTTTTACACTGATAGCAGGAGTCACTAATAAGACACAGGATTCCACAGAACCCTTTACAAACTTGTTTCATTTGGTTATTATTTTGTTGTGAAGCATTTTCATTTTTCAGTGATGTCAATATAAGAATAATTTTTGTCCGGAAATTTGCTATATTTTTCCACCATGTTAAATTGTAAATGATTATAATGTGTTCTTACACCTGGGCTCTCGGTCATAAAACTTTACTCAGTACTCGGAGTACAAAATTTGTGCTCGAAACACTAAATCCAGTGTTTTGATTGGACCTTGGTTTTTGAGTCTGAGTACGAGAATCGTACTCGAAAGTTTTATGACCGCAAGACCAGGAGAATCTGAAAAAATGAGACAACAAAATTACGATCAAATAAACAAATAAACTTCAGACAGATGTCATTTGACCTTGAGCATAGTTTCTTAATCCATTGACCTGGAAAACAATTGTAAAATTTTGTATTTAAATAATGCTGAAATACAATGAAATAAGGCAAGATATTTCTTATATGTATTAATTTCACCTGTCAATTTCTGTTTTTAGACATGCATTTAGACTGTTCAAATTTAAATGTGAATAATAGATCCAGACTAAATCAATGTAATGAATACTACAATTAAACTTAAATATGCTTTTATCTTAGTTATCACCAAACTGCATTAAAGCTCACATTCACATGGGAAGAGCACACCTAGGACTGAAAGATTATAATAAAGCAAGAGATTGTTTCCAAGAGGCTAAAAAGTTTGATTCAAAAATGGAAAATGTAATGAAAGGTACAATTATAGATAATTGATTATTGTTTATTATTTATCTTTTGATATATTTGTAACAGAATAATTGCTATTATGGTTCAAATATAAAAAATGATCAAAATTAACTGAATATACATTAGTTTATGAATGCAAAAATGAAATATATGTGCTGTTTGTTTACAATTGATATATATTCAATCAATAATGCATAAAAATGATAGTCAATAATGCATAAAAAGGATGGTCAATAATGCATAAAAAGGTGATAGGAATTATTACAAATATTTGAGAGTACATCAGTCCACACCAACCACCAACACCTGACTCCTCCAAAAAAGAAGATGCACCTAGACAACAACAAACAACAACACATGGTCCAGATAGCTTGACTTTGTACCTGCAAACACTTTGGTGTGGTTAAACCAGTTTTAAGTGCACACAAACATCTAGAAGTAAACCACACAATATAAAACATGTACAATGCTGCAAAAACAGAACCACTAATTGAACAAGGCATTAAAAGACAGCAAATAATTTAAACAGTAGGGTAAAAACAACTTGCTGCTATAGGAAGATGCTAAGGTATCCACATTTACAGCTGTGGTTAGCAGGTTAGATACTGTAAATTCAGAAATTATTGTGAGGTTTTTATTAATGCGAATAATGCGACTGGGTGAGTATGGCAATAATAAGAACTTGCATTCTGATAACTGAAATATAGACCTTTATGCAGATTTTTTTCAAAATCGCAAAAATCGCAATAACTTAACTCGCATTTTTGTCCGATCTTGAATAATCGCAATACTAAATGCACACAATCATTTCTGAATTTACATTACTACTGTTAAAAAAACATTAAAAACAACACTCGTATCAGATTTCATGATTCTCCATAAAATTTGAATGAAATCATAGTATTTGTAAGCAAAATTCAGGCAAATAAGTATTTAAACTTTCCAAATTTTATATATCAATTTTCAATATTTATGTTCTCTAATATGACATACGGGGGAAAAAATTGAAGGTAGGAAGAGAAATACTTCTAATATTAGTTTTTGACAAGAAACGATTTAAATTACAGATACTGATAACTACTGTAAAAAAATTGACAGTACTCAAAATATTTGGATATCTGTAAATATTGAATTTTAGGTTAATGAAATGGTATACTCTGGCATAAACTTCTACTTCAATAGAAAATACTTTAACAAACCCTACAAGTAGTGTACATGCCATAGAATATGGTAAGAGGAACATTGCCATTTAAAAAAGGGAAGTTTTGGATTTCAAAGTTGAAATTGTCTCTTTTGCCATATATTTTTGTAAAAAAACTTTTTTGTCTAAAAATGTTCAACATTAACTGTTATTAGCTTATTTAAGCTCAAGTTCTTTCCAATAAATACATTCATCATGTTTGATAAACTCTGGATTATCAACAGTAAATACATTCATCATGTTTGATAAACTCAGGATTTGCAACAGTAAGAATGCTCTCGAGAAATCTGATCTTATTGTAAAAAATGTTTAAGAATAATAAATTTCTTCATGTAACATGGCAATGCAATATTTACATCAAACAATCACAACATTGTTTGCTGCCTTATCAGCAGGTACTAAATCGGTCTCCTCTGAAACTGCTCAATGGGTTTAAAATAAAGTTTTCTGCTCCATTGGAGTTATTGCCCCAGAAATGTTGATTTTTACTGTTTTTTGCAGTTTTAATTTTCTAAAAAAAACTAAAGAAGCTAGATTTATTGAGAACCAAATGAAACTTTTCCACAGAGTCATCTCTTCTTGGTCAAGGTATTTAAACTTTTGTCAGTTCTATGGTCACATTGTCACTGCATGTGATGTTGAATTTATTCAATATCAATAATATATTTCCAATCTGTTCAATATAAACACTGATTTAATCATAAAAAGAAGATTTCTGACAAAATTATTAGCATTGTTCCTAGCTATAGTGAAATTTGCATATTTTTTTTTAGTTATAGAATACATTTAAGAAGGCCTTAATATAAAAAAAATCATTTTCCAGTTTTTATTTGTCAAACATATAAAAAAAAATTTCAATAGGAACAATGTTGAAAATTTTGTCAGAAATCAACTTTTAATGTTTGAATCAGTGTGTACATTGGCCCGAGAACACAGTTATTTCGTAGTGCATTTCTTTTAGACAATAAATTCAAATTAAAAAAATCGCACCTGCTCTATCTCAAAAAGATTTTTACAGTGTAGTGTACTACTATTGATACAAATAATATCAAAATTATAGAAACTTCTACCAGCTCTAACTCAAAATATTGACAATTCTGTGTTAAGGGGGGCTAAAATTCAGTTTGACAGCTTCAGACATTCTAATTTTTGACCTTTTTTAACTGGACCAAATCACTACTTAACATAAAGATTCAGCACCCAAATTTTTTTAACATGCAATTTCATCCCCTTACTTAATATTTCATGCATAAAATATCAAGAAATAAATTGGGAAAGTGTATCAAAAAAAAATGCAAGTTATACACTGTTCACACTAGGGACTATATTTGTAGACAACGAAAACCAAAGGACGATAACTGTGTCCTTGGACCTAATAGGATAGAAAGACTTGACCAATTTTAATAAAACTTTGCATGACCTAAGCTTAGGCAATTTTAAGATAATTGGCCAAGTTTCATGGCCATAGGATATATATTATAGAAACTAGGGCCATTTTAATATTGAAATTTGGATGTTTATTTTTGACGTTTAAATAAAATATTTTCAACTGTCAAGATTTTGGCCTAAAAAATTTAAATATTGCAAAAATTTGCTTTTTAAATACTCTTGAATATAATATAATAAGTATCAAAAGCAACGGAACACTCATTTGATTTATCAGATTTATCACAGTTATTCAAAAGTCAAATTTATATGAGCCTGTGTCTGAAAATAGAGATTTTCGAATTAAGGGAAGCCTTACATAAACATGCATTTTTTTCAACCAATTTGAAGTTTTTGAAGTTTTTTAACCATACATTATTCTTCCATATATATTAAATGTACTTTAAATGTAAAGAAAAGTTACAAAAAGCATACCACATGAGTATAAAATGGTCTTAGGCCATGTAAGTCTGAGAATTATTTAGAGTCGATTTAGGCCGTAGCCCATATTTACATATAAAAATGCACACAGAGGCTATAAGAAATGGAAATTTGTTACTTTTTGCTCATTTCTATGCTAAGATGTCATGATACAAGAAGTCTAATTGCAAAAGGACTCTTGAATTCAACTTTTTTTTGCAGACAGTATGGTCTGATGACCAGTTTTTCACTTTTCAATGGAAAACTTGCATGTAGTTTTAGTCTCAATTGGCATATATTTGAACCACTTACTATCCTAAGGAAGAAAATTATGGAAGCATATGAAATGAATAGGGTGTGCTGATCATTGTAAAGTGTTTATTTTACAGATTTAGTGAAATATTTGTGATGGACTACAGATTTTATGTACAAAGCTCTTCACATTTCACATACATCAAACAGGCCGTTTAACCAGGGACATAAATACAAATATTCTGCTTTTTTTTTTTGTGATAATCTACTTTTCTCTAGATTCAGAGTTCACAAATGGTTAATTAAATTTGATTTAATCATAGAAACACAAATATCAGGAACATAAAAAGCTGTCAGATAGAAAGTCAGCATGGCTCTTAGGCATAAAATGGAAACTGCTTTAAAATGCTTATTTTAGCCGTATAATGCCAAAATGGGACATTTTAACAGAATTTCTGTCAAACAAAGATGTAAATCCTTTACTTTTATTGAGTTTGACAAATTGAAACCAGCAAACCATTCAGGAAAGTTGCCAAAGTACAGAATCTACATTTACGGAATTCATCTCTTAGGCCCGAGAACACAGTTATTTCGTAGTGCATTTCTTTTAGACAATAAATTCAAATTAAAAAAATCGCACCTGCTCTATCTCAAAAAGATTTTTACAGTGTAGTGTACTACTATTGATACAAATAATATCAAAATTATAGAAACTTCTACCAGCTCTAACTCAAAATATTGACAATTCTGTGTTAAGGGGGGCTAAAATTCAGTTTGACAGCTTCAGACATTCTAATTTTTGACCTTTTTTAACTGGACCAAATCACTACTTAACATAAAGATTCAGCACCCAAATTTTTTTAACATGCAATTTCATCCCCTTACTTAATATTTCATGCATAAAATATCAAGAAATAAATTGGGAAAGTGTATCAAAAAAAAATGCAAGTTATACACTGTTCACACTAGGGACTATATTTGTAGACAACGAAAACCAAAGGACGATAACTGTGTCCTTGGACCCATTGAACAAATTGAAAATATTTTATAGATATTGAATAAATACAACATCACATGCAGTTTTGTGAGTTGATACATGTGTTTTCATCTACTTAGAAGATAACTTTTTTACTCAGGTAAATTAATCAATGAGTGATGGATTTCTCTTAGAAGAAATTTAAAGGTCCCAGTGAATAAACTACACAGAGAACAATAGCTATTATATTTATTCAATGGGACAATAAAACTAACAAAAGTTTAGATACCTTGACCAAGAGGAGATGACTCTGTGATGCATGTTCACATCAATTGTTTTCAACTCAATGTTTACCAATACTTAAAGCAGGGGTATCACTTGTGAGCAATAGCTCATAGTTAACTTGTTCGTTGTGGTCAAGAATTCTGAAAATGGTTTATGTACACATTTTGATGGAGGTAAGGGGGTCTTAAAATTGTACACATACCTCAGACTCTTAGGGAATGTGTGAGTTCTTTTTATACGACCGCAAAAAAATTTTGTGGTCGTATATTGGTATGACGTTGGCGTCGTCGTCGTCATCGTCGTCGTCCGGCGTCGTCGTCCGAAGACACATTGGTTTTCGCACTCTAACTTTAGTTTAAGTGAATGGATCTCTATGAAATTTTACCATAAGGTTCAATACCACAAAAGGAAGGTGGGGATTGATTTTGGGGGTTATGGGACCAACAGTTAAGGAATTAGGGGCCAAAAAACAAGCATTTTTGTAACTTCCAGACATAACTTGTGTGTTAGTGTATGGATCTCTCCGACATTGTACCACAAGGTTCCATATCACAAAGGGAATGCTGGGATTGATTTTGGGGGTAATTGCCTCCAAATTTTAGGAATTAGGGGCCAAAAAGGGGCAAAACAAGCATTTTTCTAGTTTCATGACAATAACTTGTGTGTAAGTGTATGGATCTTTATGAAATTGTACTACAAGGTTCCATATCACAAAGGGAAAGCTGGAATTTATTTTGGGGGTAATTGCCCACAACGTTTAGGAATAAGGGGCCAAACAGGGGCCAAAAATATGCATTTTTCTAGTTTCCAGACAATAACTTGTGTTCAAGTGTATGGATCTCTCTGAAATTGTACTGCAAGGTACCATACCACAAAGGGAAGGCTGGGATTGATTTTGGGGGTAATTCCCTAGAAATTTGAGGAATTAGGGGCCATAAAGGGGCAAAAAAACAAGCATTTTTCTAGTTTCAGGACAATAACTTGTGTGTAAGTGTATGGATCTTTATGAAATTGTACTACAAGGTTCCATATCACAATAGGAAAGCTGGGTTTGAGTTTGGGGTAATTGCCCTAAATGTTTAGGAATTTGGGGCCAACAAGGGACCAAAAAACAAGCATTTTTCTAGTTTCCAGACAATAACTTGTGTTCAAGTGTTTGGATCTCTCTGAAATTGTACATGTGAACCTCCCGACGGGAATACAATAATCCTGTTTTCAGGGGTCTCCTCATGACCTCCCGTTGAAGACAAAAAATTCCCGTGTATGAAATATTTCATGAATGAAAAATTTCAGCCCAACATATCTGGTGTAACTGACATTACCTGAAGTTATATTTTACCTGTAAATCAATTAACATGCATAATTATATGGCTTCACTTGTCACCTTGGGTGTCAAACATACTGGTAATCAACGATTTTTACCTCAGGCTAACTGCCGTTGTGTAATAAAACTTTGTTTAGTTAAAATGAATGTTGGGTTACTTCCCTTGATTTATCCTGTTTTAAGTTACTTTCCTTTAGATAATGTTAATTTTTGAAAGAATATAAATAAAATATAAATTGAACAAATAATCATAGAAGGATGGTAATCAAATGATTTTAAATGTCTTAGGACAAATAAAAAAATAATAATTTGAAAATTATTTGAGGGTCTATACTTCCTTTCAAGGCTTAAATTAAAATTTATATAATAAATATGACCCGTGAAGACAGTTTGAATGTATTACTTATCAAGCATTATAAATCTATTTGCATAAAGATAAAACAAAAGATCTACTTGCAGATAGATAAGCAATTGTTTTGATTGCAATGAATAATGGTAAAACAGATATGACCTAAAAAATTTAAAGAACATACAAAAAAAGAAGAATGTTAGATTGAACAAGTTGAAAGTTTAAAAAGATAGAGAAAATTAATTAATAAGTACAAGGGTACTGTAAACATAATACATTCGGATGGAAAGTTGAAGAAAACACACTTTAACAGACAATCTCTACAGCACACGGTTACATTTATGACAGAATTTATGTCGATTTAAAACCTCCTGATCTGAGTCCTAATCTCCTGACCAAAATTTCCCAAACTCCTGATCTTAGTTTCACAGTCCATCACATGTATGCAAGTTGAAGGTACCATACCACAAAGGGAAGGCTGGGATTGAGTTTGGGGGTGATGAATCATAAGGGGGTTCAAAAAATTGGGGGGGGGGGGGATTTTTTTTTCATTTTTTTTCTTTAAAATTTTCCATTTTAAATTGGTTATTTCTGAATAATATGTAAAAGCAAATAATAATGATATGGTTTGAATAGATAAATTAAAAATTTTTAAGTTCTTAGACCACATTCATTCTGTGTCAGAAACCTATGCTGTGTCAAATATTTAATTACAATCCAAATTCAGTGCTGTATCAAGCTTGAATGTTGTGTCCATACTTGCCCCAACTGTTCAGGGTTCGACCTCTGCGGTCGTATCAAGCTGCGCCCCAGCGGAGCATTTTATTGGATCTGTCGGACACCTACATCCTATCTTCTGATACTTTGAATTACAAGTGAAGGTATGCTTAGCAGTGTTCTCACCAAGATTTTTGGATAGCACCATGGTAAGCGTGGTGACAATTAGAGATACACATTAAACATAGTTTGCATTGCGTCATGACACATTGCCTCTTTACTCTCTCCTTATGGACAGTTTCCATGGAAATTCTTGGTTATTGTTATAACCTTTTAATTATTTGAGTTTTGTTGTCATTTGAACTGTATTGTAGGGTCATTTAGTAACTTAATAATAGAAAAGAATGAAAGTCTTTAATGTGTATGTTGATAGTGCAGGGTCTTGCATGAATAAGTTTTATTCATTCTCTTCAATTAATTTGAATAACTTTATTGTCCATTTGGGATTGTAACTTGTACTGTCTCATACAAATTATAAGTAGTGGAAGAGAAACTTATCTCATGTGAGGCTTTGGAACTAAACAATATTTGTTTATATATTAATATTTTAAAATCATTTTAAGTATTGAGGATATTATCACTAATTTACAACATATCATATCTGTATGTATACAGAATTTTATTTTTTCATTTTGATATTTAGCAATCAAGTTTTAACTTATAAATATTTTTATGGATAAAACTAATTTTCAGCAATAGACTTTTAAAATAGCCAAAATTAAGGGGAGTAACTCTTTATAAATTTATTTGGAAAAAAGTTTTTCTTTCGTTTAAAATGCACATCATACCTTAGGATAAGAGAACAGAACCAAATTCAACAGTACTATGTTTGATACCAAGGTTGTGACTGTCAATAGAAATCTCAGAATTTTAGGTCCAAATTAATTGTGGCTGATGTATCAAACTCATTAAATTGACTGCCAAACTTGGAAAAAAACAGTGGTTAAAAAATTTAAGTTTAAGAATGAAGATGACTTATTTAAAGAGACAGGATATCATGGCTAGCTTAGACAAAACAATATGTTAGATTATAAAAATTTAATTACTGTGGATTTAATCTTTGATTGACTGCAATGTTTACTTGCAAACCAAGTATTTTAATATGCAATATGTTACATAACTTCCATATATATTTTACTGCAGACAAGATGTATCAAATGTCAATCCATGTAATCAAGTATACCTGTTTACAGAATCACAATTTTCCCTCTATCAATGAAATTGGTTTCAAGAAAAATAATCTTTTTTAAGTTTCAGGTTTCTGGTAGCTAGGTTGATTGATTACTATTTGCTTAGTGTACAGTTGCACCTACTTTATGCATATTAGAACGAAAATAGATTAAACAAAATGAATAAATAAAGGTTTCTGTTCGTTGACCATGATGAAGGCTTGAAATTTGGACTGTCATTTGTTTATGTTTTCGAGACACTCATGGAACAAGAAAATTCATGTTTATTCATGAGATAATTTTCTGTTTTAGAATATTTGTCAGAAGTAGACAGGGCTGAGGAACAAGAAAAAGAAGAAAAAAAGGTTAAAGAGTTATTTGAAAGTGGTAATGAGAATTGCTGTGGTATTGCTTATCTACTGGAGAAAGTTTTAAAACCAGATCAACTACCAATTTATTATGCTGGAGGTTTCAAACTTCTTGGCTCTGCTGTAAATAATAGTAAGTTTTACAGATTCTGCCTTTGATGCATTTACTAAGTTTTTATTTAAATCTCTGGCTCTGAAAAGTTTAAAAATTTTAATGGCAGCCATATTACATGAGATTTTGTTTTTGCCAATGTATAAGAAAAAAAAATTCAGAAAAAATTTAAATGAATTCAGTAATTTAGTGATTTTTATGTCCTAAATTTATGTATTAAAGGATATGGAAAAATTGTGCACCTTTACAAAATTTAAATTTACATTCTGACTCTTTGTATCATCTAATTGATTTTGCAGATCGCTTTTAGACCTTAATTTAAAAAAAATATATATACAGATTTTTAAAAGCATTTCTGGATGAAACCCCTGAATCAAAGCAAATATTTCATTGCTATCTATAGTTCATACTTGTTTAATAGTTACTATTTCATCCTGATATATATGACCTGCAATAACTTGTCAATTAAACTGCTAGGATCTACAATCAGTTTAATTGTGTCGTTTGTTGTTTTTGGGATAAAGATTGCATTCGTGCAATCAAAACCTTTATGTGGCTGGCTTTATTTTCAAGATCTTATCACTACTTTTGATGTACACAAAACATAGGATGTGTAGAATGTTGTGCCCAATGCACTATGTTTTGTGTATATACATGTATCAAAAGAAGTGATAGAATCTGGAAAATAAATAACTATCAAGGAGTTGAAACTTATCAATGAAATATATACTCAGAAATTCAAGTTATAAAATGATGTGTATATGTGTATAACCAGACTTGTCAAGAAAATTACATAAATTGTGCATGGTGCATGAATCTTAAGTATCTGTTCTAAAAATATCAACAATGTCATTGTTCAAGTAATATTTAAAATTGAAGTTATCTTCCATTATACATAGTTGAAGTTGGTATATCATTGCCTTCAAATGCTAATACAATGCAATGTTTAATTTTTAGTTTCCACTGCAAAATGAATGCAATCTTGGGATGGGAATGTAAATTTTGTACTGCAATGTTGGTTATATTATATTAAATAGACAAAAGACCTGTATTTTTATATATACATGTATGCATTAACAGAAATGGAAATAAGTTGCATGTTCATTATATTTAGCATTGAAGAAAATGCCTTAATAATTGAACTCTTTTGATTTGACCACCACCACCATCCCATCCTTTTTTTTTAAAGAGTAAATTTGAAGCTCAGTTGATCTTTTTTTACACTTTTAGTTGTTTCACATACATTTATGTATTTTATTTACGGCTTCATAATTTACTGACATATACATACTTTGATGACAAAATTTTATTTTTATGCCCCCGCCGGAGCGGAGGGGGCATTAAGTTTTACCCTTGTCTATCTGTACGTCCGTACGTACGTACATACATAAAATTGGTTTCCGTTCTCTAACTTAAGTTTGCCTCAACCAAATGTTATGAAACTTATACACAATACTTATTACCACAAAACACAGATCAAGTTTAAATTTTGGTGGCGTCACTTTTACTGTTCTAGAGTAATGCCCCTTTACAAATGGAAAAATTGCTGAATTTTTCGTTTCCGTTCTCTAACTTAAGTTTGCCTCAACTAAATGTTATGAAACTTATAAACAATGCTTATTACCACAAAACTCGGATCAAGTACAAATTTGGGTAGCGTCACTTTTACAGTTCTTGAGTTATGTCCCTTTATAACGTTATATGCAAGCAGGGGCATCATCTGTGTCCCATGGACACATTCCCCATTTATTTTCTTTTATTTTAAATGGATATATCATACATCTAAATTATATTAAATTAAAATTTGCAAGTACAATGGGTAAATCAATTCATATCAAAGGGGGAAAAAATTACCCTTTCCATAATAAGTATTTAAATGTTAAAGATATGTTTAAAAAAATGCTAACAACCTGTATAAAATGTGACACATGTAACAAGGAAACCAGCCATAGAATTCAAACCTTAACCTGGTGTCATTGCAATATCCAAGAAATGCATGTCCAAATGTCGTGTAAACCAGATGTAAACCAAGCATAAACCAAGGGTAACTGAGGCTGAAACCTGCCATAAAATTAGGTGTAATAATGAAATGAGTATGCCTTGTCAACAGAAAAACCTGAAATATCATGCAAATGAGTAGGACTGGTCAACAAAATACACGCAATATTCTTATATAATACTACACCTCAATATTGTTTATGTGAATCTTTGGCAAAGCCACAAAGCCACAAAATCAAATATCCACAAAAGTACCATTTTTACTCAATCCATGAAAATGGGTACCCATGAAATTAAATAAATCCACAGTATTGCATATTCAATACATGAATTCATGCATATTTTTTTATATGATTGTTTTTCAGTGGTATAATTGTTGAAATGCTGAAAACCCTGCAAGTTTATTCTGAATTGGATTACAAAAAGTTTTGTATTGTTTACCAGGTGTTATTCAGATTTAAGGGAGCCAATTTATTGTATTGATGTCCATTATAAAATGTTTTTGTCAGTAAAAATCAAATGTTAAAACAATTATTGCATGAATATTACAGATGAAGAAAGAACACTATTCAGAACAAAAGGAGGTTTGCGTCTGATAGAAGAACACTCATATTTTCCAAAGTAAGTCTTTTAATTGTAAAAGAGATTTTATACATTGATAAAACAAGATTCATGGCCTGTTTAATGAAGCAAAAGGTGTAAAGTGTTGGGCATGTCAACATCTCCATGATCCTCGTTCACCAGTTGATGGATTTGGAATTTGTATATACATCAGTGTATTCTATCCTAGTACATTTGAAGCAAATATCAAGTCACATGATCTACAGATTCTCCAACACCAGCAAATGGATCCAGCAACTGAAATATTTTTATTTTATAGATATTGAAATTTGATGCAAAAATCAAAATATAAATTTATAAATGAGACAAATTCATCAGCTATAAAAGTAACACAATATCAAATGAAGAATATTAAGGCTATGAGCCAATCAAAATGCAGGAACTCTTTTCAAATTTAATTTTTATGCCCCACCTACGATAGTAGTAGGGGCATCATGTTTTCTGGTCTGTGCGTCCGTTCGTCGTCGGTCTGTCCGTCTGTCCCATTTTAGGTTAAAGTTTTTGGTCAAGGTAGTTTTTGATGAAGTTGAAGTCCAATCAACTTCAAACATAGTACACCTGTTCCCTATGATATGATCTTTCTAATTTTAATGCCAAATTAGAGTTTTGACCCCAATTTCACGGTCCACTGAACATAGAAAATAATAGTGCTAGTGGGGCATCTGTGTACTATGGACACATTCTTGTTTTTAACAAAGATTATTCGTAGTAAAAGGTGTATGCACATGGCCTAAATCAATTGGCATTAGAATTAAGTGTATTTCATACTATCTCTTATTTGCAAAATCATATGTTAAATGAATGTACTTCAATAGAAAAATGGAGCTTTGGTGTCAAATATACCTTTTTCATGGGTTATATAGCCATAAAATGAAAGATTAATTCAATAAAATAGCAATGGTCATTTTGAGGAAGTATGAGGTACATCCACCCTTTGAAACTGACCAAAAAAACTTATAATGCATTGATTTTATGAAAAAATATATAGATTTCTTGATAATCAAACAACTGAAGAGTTTTTGTCACTGGAAAAAGAAAATCTCATAAAGTTAGGCTTAACTTTGTTCAAGACGTTAAAACGTTCCAATTTTTAAATTATTAGTGATACAGTAGTTCGACTACCTATACCACTAGGCCACTGAGGCCCCTAATTAAAATGGAACAGGAGATAAAATTAGTTAAAAGGCAAATGCAAGAAAAAAATAAGACCTGAAGAAATTAAAACTGTGCAGGAAAATCAGATATTTATGTCTATAACTCAGTCCTCAGTACTAAACATATTTCAGTAAATGGCAGTAAATACATCAAGTTTGTTCCATCTTTTAAAGTTATATTAACAAATAATAAGGAAATCAAAAATCTATATGATAATTCTCTTCTTCATAAGTGTCTGTTTCAACATTATACATAAGTGTATATTTTTTTACCTGACATTAAGGTGATGCAATTAGGTGGATTTCATAGTGAAACTTTTTATTTCCAAGATACATCTGTATAAGAGCCAATGGCCCGGGCTGGAAATTACACTTTCACTTTTAGTATGAAGAATTTTTAGTAGTTTTTGTCCAATTGATATGGACTTTTTATGACTTTCAAGTTGATAAAAGATAGCAATACACAGTTAGGAGTTTGGTTTCACATTTTTGGCCCCTGTGAATTTTTCAAATATGAAAGTTATTATGCAATAAAATTAATTTTTAGATAGCTGAAGAATAATATAGTCTTCAAATATGAACATCAAGAATATTTTTTGCGTGTTTTAAAGGCCATATTCTGTTTGACAGTCTGTATTTTCACACCTGTACCTGCCATATAACCAGATTACCAGAAATTATTGTAATGTTTTCCAACAAACTTTTCAATTCAATTTTATGAAAAAAATGAGGATAAATGCTATTATTACATTGGTTGCAATGAATCCCATTGATTTCCCAGTGAAATAAAAACCGATAATTTCACATGTGAAATAAACGTGGTTATTTCACTCCTCTGACGTCATACAACAATAGGCGTTGTCAAGACATCGATAACGTCGGATCAAAACAAATTGTGAATGCGTAAAAAAAGATATAGTTCCTTACGTTTTCTACTTTAATTTCATAAAAAAGCCATTTGCCAATGTAATAAAAAGAATAACTAATCAAAGAATTCAAATATCGAAAAATATTCAACTCGTGACCGAACAACACTGATAATTAACTCATGCGCTACGCGCATTCGTGAATTAATGTGTTGTTCGGTCACTCGTTGAATATTTTTCTCTATTTGAATTCTTCGATTAGTTATTCTATAATGATTTTTATTTGACCTCTTGATAGATGAATGTCAATGGTTTTCAGAAAAGGTATCACTCAAATGGATTGAAATTCTACTTTGGACCAAATTTTGGGGACACGTGATATTTTCACCCCCCTTTTTACAATATTTTGTATCAAATTAATTCAGATTATTGCCATGGTTACACCAAAAAGAAATTATATTTCACCATTTTAATTATTGGAAATAAAATCTATGAAAGAAGCTGCTTCCATACATATGCACATACATGACACAAACAGTAAGCCTTATTTGTAAGAAAGCAAGGGAAAGAGGTTGGTTAAATATTATAAGTGTCAATTTTAAGTTTTTTCCCTTACTGTGTATTGCTACCATAGCTTTCAGTAAAGAAATGGATTTCTTAACTATTACAGTTTCCAATCTTTAAATGGCTAATTAACCTTAGAGGCCCTCTTGAACTTGCAGTAAGGTGAGAGTTTTTGTTCCATGTTGAAGGCCTCACTGTGACTGCATGAGATGAAGAAGATCAATATAATTACAAGCACTGTTCCTTTGCCTTGGGCTTTTTTATGTGCATGTAGTGTATTTGTTTCATGAATATTTACACCATATCCTTTCTTTTCCTTAAATCACACTTTTACATAGTAACAATATCCCTGTGTTATCTTGTTATTTTGTATGTATTATAACATAAACTTTATTTTTAGGTGTTTTGCTACATCTCCAAGGAGCTTATCTCAGGAAGAATTAGACATGTTAACAGCTGGTATAAATATGTTTAATAAAGCATGCATTGACTGTGGTAGGTTTATGTAATGTGGTCTCATCAGAAAGAATCATTAAAAAATCATACAATTATATACAGTTAACTCTCGTTGTCTCGAACTCGGTTGACTCGAAATTTCGGATGAGTCGAAGTTTTCTCGTGGTCCCGAACTTTGTTCCATATAAATATATGTATTTCGACTCCTGATGAGTCAAAATTGGATGAGTCGAAATTTCGGTTGAGTCGAACTAAATTTACGGTCCCAAGGTTAACAAAAGCATTCAAAATTCATTATTTATCTCGAACTTATACACATATGTCAAAACATGACCTCCGGGATTTAAATGGATTGAAGAGTTAATCTGACAATACACGTGTAATTAAATTTCCGGTCACTGACCAAGGTATTGATTTATGACATTCTATTTCCATGAGTGTTTACCTAAGATTATCTTTTATCACCATGATAAATAATTAGTGATACATTGTTAAAGTTTATGAAAATTATTTAAAATGTTTACAAAAAAAATTAATTAAATTAATCGTGATTTACACTGATGAGCTTGGATGTGTATATAGTGGGGATTAAGACTTCCGTTGGTGATCACATAAAAACTACTCAATCGGCGTCTTTTATCTTTTTGTATTTTTTCTTTAAAAGAAAGATTGAGATAAAAGAAAATAAAAATAAATCTAAATTTCTAAAATCTCTTGTATCCGAGAATAAGCAATTTTTGTCAAATTTAAATGACTTAAATAACGCTAAGATCGATTGGAAATTACTCTCTCGGATAAAAGCCACAGGAAAAAATTGTAACTGTTCAAAGAAATAATTAAATAAGTGAAAACAATGTTATAATAATGAAAGACCATAACATACAAATCCATCGATATGAGACCAGAATATCGATCCCCTTCCCATATTCATCCGGATTTATTTTAGCTTTACTAAGGTCAGCAAGAGTTGTGTCCCTTGGTCTGTCAAACTTACGGTTTTCGTTTGAGTCGAACTACGGGTATCTCGAAATATTTCTCTGGTCCGGCTGACTTCGAGATAACGAGAGTCGACTGTACTATGAATTGGGACATTTTGATTGTAAAAATAAGGAGATGAGGTATGAATGCCAAAGAGACAACTATCCACCATAGTTCAAACAAAGTGGATGTAAGCAATTATAGGCAACCGTACGGCCTTCAACAATGAGAAAAACCCATACCTTATAGTCGGCTATAAAAGGCCCTGTCATGAAAAATATGAAACAATTCAATTGAGAAAACTAATGGCCTAATTTATAACAAAACAAAAAACAAAAAGGCTCCTGACTTGGGACAGGCACATAAAGAATGTGGTGGGGTTAAACATGTTTGTGAGCGCTCAACCCTCCCCTTAACCTGGGACAATGATGTAACAGCACTACATAAGAACAAACTATAAAAAATGAGTTGAAAAAGGCTTAACTCATCAGATAGATACAAAGCAGAAAAACAAGTAACAAAAAACACAGACCGGACGTGGCAGGGTACTTATACATCCCCAACAACAAAAAAAGACCAAGTACAGATCTGAGAGTACTCGCAGTTACTGACAGCTAGTTCAAAGCCAATAACAACTAATAAAAATCAAAGTACTGAAGTACTGAACATCGGATGACCGCAAGTTCTTGTGGATGGTCAAAAGCACTTGTCACAGAAAAAAATCACATCTCTATACCTGAAACTGAGGTTAATGTACAGAGATATATTTTTTTCTGAGACAAGTCCGTGCATGGATGATGAATAAATGACAGGAAATTCAACCTCACCGTAATAACTATTATATTGTAGTAATACAAATCAGTATACAATGGTTTGTTGTTATATATTATATTAATATAACAGTTACATATATATATAATTTTCATCCATTTGTATATCATTCTATTATACTATTCTAATAATAGTGCAGTGCAAGTGCATGGTGGACACTCTTCTGTAAAAATTCGATTTTTCTAAAAGATTGGATATGAGTAGGCATTCATATTTTCCCGCAAAAACAATTACAGAGTTACCGGTCCTTGCCGGGATTGTCGCAAAACATTCTTGAGATATTCTTCCGCATGCTTTAACACAATTTTTCGGTACTTGTGCATAGATATTATCAATGATTTTTTACTTATATATATATATATCTAACGACAAAACATTTTCATATTATTAATTTATGTTCTAAACAAAAATATTTTTATCAGTATTCATTGAAGTGATGTATTTATAACAAATGATAAGGAATGTTAGTTTGCACTCGTTAATATCATGTATTTATCATGTTCATAGATCGGTTACAAACCCAAAACGAAAGTTACGTAATGGAAATCTAGGCAATAGCAATACATTGGAATGCCCTCACAGCCATCGCGATGTAAAAATCATGTATCTAAGACTAAAATATCAATCAGTACACATCCAACATCCAGTGGATTTAGTGTAAAGATGTTATTAACAGTCAGAGAAAAACATAAACTTGTGCAATGCCAAAATAAAGGTATTGACAGACTGTAGTACCGTTAAAGTCCATATGTGTATAACAAAACTATTTAGTATGATTTTAATTTACTGATAATAAAATCAATATTTTTACCAATAAAAACAATACTCTAATTACAGAGTTGAATTGGTAACCTTTTAAAATAAGTTTATTTAAAGGATTGATAAGTTTACCTGAATTGCATATAAATTTCCAGCTCGGTAAACAACATCACCATAAATTTTAGGATGTGCTATTCCGTCTGAAATAAGTTTTTTACAGGTACAGTAAAACTTGCAAACCAAATCTTTGTATCTATGGAAGAATTTAGTTAAGGTTTTAAGTAATTTGTGTATACATGTTTTTTTATTCGGTGCTTTAGATTAAAGTGCCATAATTATAAACACGCCATAACGATAAATGCAAGAATTTCAATAATCATAAGTAAAACATAAAAGAAATGATTATAAGTACAAAAAAACGTTACCCTTTAGATATTTTCAAATATTTGGACAAGACTCCTTTTGAAAAGGTTCATGTTAATTTCTGTAAATATATTCAAGGTACCAAAAAGGTGTCTTCTAATTTAGGAGTTAAAGCTAACTTGGTAGATAACCAATAGAAAATTATATAAAAACGCAAGCAATCCTTTATTTGTATATATAGTTATTACTGAAAACATAAACCCATTACTAAAAGAAAGTTATACACTAAGTAAACACCTTGACTCATAAGGAGTTTATCTGTCCACTTTCATCAAAGATTCTACACAAGAAATTAATATTGATATACAAAAAAAAAGTTTCCTGTAAAAATATAAAAGACATAAAAAAACTTAAGACTTGGATTAAGATTATTTCAAGCAACTTTTATTCAGAATTACTGAAAAGTAAAATAAACAGTTTAAACGAAAATAATAAAACTTTTTCTTTATAAAAGATTATAGGTTGCACTTTGTAAATACAGCTGTTTCGCAAACCACACCTCTTTTGGGGAGATATAAAATATTCATAGATATTTTGTTTGTTTACGTACTGGTTCCCAGATATGATCTCTATGTTTCATCTCATAGAAACATAACTTGGGAATGTTACCAGTATATTTACACATGGTTGCAGGGAATTTCGAATTCTCTGAGGGTCACCTAAAGTGAAGGTAGGATAGTACAGAACTTAAGTATAAGTTTAAACTCTTAGAAGTTCGGGGCATATAAATGTTGAAAATATGCCGCACAGCCCTTTGTTTTGACCTTTGAATAAAATAGTAGTGCATATCAACTTTCCATTCCAGGATATAATTTTTCACGAAACTTCATAGTAAAAATGGCACAGTTTTAGCCGTAAAGGGAGTTCCTATGGGAAATTGCATTGTCTATATTTACAGAAATGCAACCTATTTATAGTCAAACAAGACCAAGAATTTAATCTTAGATATCCATATTTTGAAACTAGACGTTTATATACAAAAATTAGAATCAGTGACAATAATTTACTTATAGAAAAGGGCAGATATACCTCAAAAATTTACTTATAGAAAACTTGTAAAACCATAGAAGATGAAAACCACTTTGTCCTCTACTTTCAAAATAATAAAATATTTTGTATTAAACTTTTTAATGACATTGCAATAAATAATCCTATATTTCCAAATCTGTCTGATACTGAAAAACTAGTAGTCCTGCTAAATCCTACAATTATAAACCAAGTGAAAAAAACAGGTTTCTTTTATAAAACAGTCTTTAGAGCTGAGGACAGGGGACTATTTATTGTTGCTTGTATATATGTATATGTATTCAAATCAGTTTATTTTTTGTTGTTGTTATTATTTGTATTTGTCACAAGTACATGTATCATATTTTACTTATATGACAATAAAGAATTATCTATAACTTAGATTGATTTAGTAATAGAAAAAAAACAAACAGTTACACTAATGATTATAACTAGGATCAAAACATCAAAAAAGTGCTAAAGTGAAATGATCCTACACTTGATTGGGCAAGAGACATTTTAGCGAAAATTTAAATCAACTAGGAGACGGGACATTTTAGCACAGACCGTTCACCTGTATTTTTGATGGCCAATTTTAGCAATACTTACCTGGTTGAATAATTTTCACCATACAAAAACCGTGAACAGTAACTTATACTGGCCTAATTTACAATTTGGTTAATCATGGACATAAATCTTGTACCATTATTAATGACAAGCCAATGTTTGGAATGATATGCATTTATCATATATGAAGCTCCATTAGGGGGAGGGGGCCTCTGAATCTGCCTCTGATTACCATCACTGTGTGTCCAGAATTGTCCAAAACTTTTTTAAAAAATCTTCTACGCTGAAACCAATGACCAATTTCAACCAATGTTAACCTGAATGTCCCTAAAGGTATAGAGTATAAAGTTTATGTGTTTGTTAACTTGTTAATAAAAAGATAAATGCAAACAATTGTCTGATTTATATCTTAAAATTTATGATATAAGAGCTGCTTCAGATAGAAATCGACCTGAATATCAATACATCTGTTAACCTATTTCTGGTTGAAAAAATCTCTAAGGAAAGTCTGTAACTGTTTTAAATTTGAGTTGTTATAATAACCCTACAAAACAGACCAAAGTTTATCTTTTATTTCTTATTTGAATGTTCTACAATCAGTCAAAGTCTTATACATGTACATGTATACATGAACTTGCATAAGTTCTATTTCTATCTGACACCTCTCATATATTGAAAATCTCAAACACTCTGAATGTAAAGAGCTACCTTTCTTTCTAATTTCATAAAATAATCAGACTTATAGGAGTTAAAGCCCTAAAATGACAATTTTATCCATTTTTGTTCTCATAGGGATGCCAATCTGGCTATGATAGTGTAAACTATTTGTATAAAGCTTTATACTTTAGAAGAAAGAAGACCTTGATACTTCAAACCTTGTATATATTTGCCTTATGTTCAAAATGATCTGTCTGTCATATGTGCATTGTAATTTTAACTAATTTTCATGTTTCACTGAATGCTTAAAAAAACAATTATTGATTTTTCTCAGAAACTTTTGAAAATTTAATGATGATGAGTAAAGCAGGTGATTTCAGCATGTGCACTCTTGTAAATATTTTTTGCAATTATCTTGAAAATTTTGTTGATAGGGAGAAACTGTAAACTGTAATCCTCATAAACGAAAGTGTCAATTGACCCTGTACGAGTAAAAAAAATAGCCCCTTAAATGGTGATTATAACTCATTTATTGTTTTTTTGACATTACCTTGAAAACTAAAATAGACAGAGAGAAACTGTAAGAAGCAAAAAATTATCAGCAAGATAAGATTTTCAAATAAATGATCAGGGATGAAATCTTCAATTGGCTCCTTATAAGGGGTTATTGCCCTTGAATGACAGTTTTTACACATTTTTTTTCACTTTTTGAAACTTTAAGGCATAGAGAGAATATATATAGCATAAAGATAGAAGAAAAGAAAATGATAAGCTAGAAAAGATCTATATTAAAGATAAACAAACATCTCTGACTGCCATTAAGGTGAAAATGAATATCAAAATGGTATGGTTTTGCTATTTGAGAGATTCAGGCTCTCAGGAAACCCTAGTTTCTCATCTTGAGGAGTTAGTAACAAATACAAATCAGTGTTATATGTACATGTATATCATGTATATTTGCCAATACTTTTTTTCAGAGACAAACCAACAATTGATTGTAACATCCAATGGATTTCCAAATAAGTTTTTAAGATTTTTAGAAGTAAAAATAAAAGGTAATGGAAAAGTTATGAAGTCAGCATGTATTAATTTCCTGAATACAGTTGCATTGACAGAACTTGGAAGGTCGACTGTTATCCTCACATTCAATATGATAAGGTAGGTAACAATTATTGCACAACATCAAAATTACAGTTATTTGTTATTATCATATATCTATACTACTGAAATAACGAGGTCCAATTTGTTAGCCAGCATTATGTAAAAACGATGAATTAAAGAATTCAACTTTATATATAACTAATATAGGACAATGGTGGTGTTTAAAAATTGCACCATTCCAGGCCCTTTTTTTTTCCACATAATTAATATTACCAATAAGTTCTGGATCAAATACCAATAGTATATGTCACATGTAGTTTCCTGTTGTAGTTACCAGTGTAACCTTCTGTAATTCCCTCCTCTATCAGGAGATCTGGAATTCTTCCAGTAGTTGTTTTTATATGGCCGCAAAAAAATTTTTGTGGTCGTATATTGGTATGACGTTGGCGTCGTCCGGCGTCGGCGTCGTCGTCCGAAGACACATTAGTTTTCGCACTCTAACTTTAGTTTAAGTGAATGGATCTCTATCAAATTTTACCATAAGGTTCAATACCACAAAAGGAAGGTGGGGATTGATTTTGGGGGTTATGGTACCAACAGTTAAGGAATTAGGGGCCAAAAAGGGGCCAAAAATAAGCATTTTTGTAACTTCCAGACATAACTTGTGTGTAAGTGTATGGATCTCTCTGACATTGTACCACAAGGTTCCATATCACAAAGGGAATGCTGGGATTGATTTTGGGGGTAATTGCCTCCAAATTTTAGGAATTAGGGGCCAAAAAGGGGCAAAAAACAAGCATTTTTTCTAGTTTCATGACAATAACTTGTGTGTAAGTGTATGGATCTCTCTGAGATTGTATCACAAGGTTCCATATCACAAAGGGAATGCTGGGATTGATTTTGGGGGTAATTGCCTTCAAATTTAGGAATTAGGGGCCAAAAAGGGGCAAAAAACAAGCATTTTTGTAGTTTCATGACAATAACTTGTGTGTAAGTGTATGGATCTTTATGAAATTGTACTACAAGGTTCCATATCACAAAGGTAAAGCTGGAATTGAGTTTGGGGGTAATTGCCGAAAACGTTTAGGAAAAAGGGGCCAAAAATAAGCATTTTTCTAGTTTCCGGACAATAACTTGTGTTCAGGTGTATGGATCTCTCTGAAATTGTACTGCAAGGTACCATACCACAAAGGGAAGGCTGGGATTGATTTTGGGGGCAATTGCCCTAAACTTTTAGGAATTTGGGGCCAAAAAGGGGCCAAAAAACAAGCATTTTTCTAGTTTCCAGACAATTTAACTTGTGTTCAAGTGTATGGATCTCTCTGAAATTGTACTGCAAGGTACCATACCACAAAGGGAAGGCTGGGATTGAGTTTGGGGGTGATGAATCATAAGGGGGTTCAAAAAATTTGGGGGGGATTTTTTTTTCCTTTTTTTTCTTTAAAATTTTCCATTTTAAATTGGTTATTTCTGATTTATATATAAAAGCAAATAATAATGATATGGTTTGAATAGGTAAATTAAAAATTTTTAAGTTCTTGGACCACTTTCATTCTGTGTCAGAAACCTATGCTGTGTCAAATATTTAATTACAATCCAAATTCAGTGCTGTATCAAGCTTGAATGTTGTGTCCATACTTGCCCCAACTGTTCAGGGTTCTACCTCTGCGGTCGTATCAAGCTGGGCCCAGCGGAGCATTTTATATATCTATGTTACGCTATAGTACACTGTTTAACAAGTCTGTTTTCTTCCACCTCAATACCACTATTAATTTTGGTTAATTAGTTAAAAAAAATCAAAATTAGTTTATAGTAAGTTTATTGTAGTAAGAAATCCAGGACGGGTTCAAACAGAAAGATTTCGAAAGCAGAGAAAACTCTGCACCTTACAAACAGCATGACAAAAACTAAAAATCCAGGCTAAAAATAAGGCATAGGTACTTTAATTCAGTAATGGACTCGCGATGTCGTGGGTGTGTTCTAGTTATCTATTATTTTTAAGACATGGCTTAGGATCTTGATGCAGAAAAAATGTTACTCTGATTTGCACCTTTATATATTAAAGTGTCACCATGAAAAAAAGATATGATCAGCCCTTTATTTTATATCAGCAATGTCTCAGATGAGTTTGAAAATCAGTACTGATCAATCATTTTAAAAAAGTTATGCCACTTGGAAACATTAACTATATGGAAAATTGCATCATTAGCGCTCTCATGTGTACAATTCTTGCTAGATATTTATGAATCTTATATCATAGGTTTATATCAATAATATCTTGGATGAGTTCGAAAATCAGTGCCGATCAATCATTTTCAAAAGAGTTATGCCCCTTGGAAACATTAATTATATGAGAAATTGCATCTTTAGCACTCTTTTGTGTACAATTCTTGCCAGATTTTTATGAAACTTATATCATAAGTTTATATCAACAATGTCTCGGACGAGTTCGCAAATCGGTGCCGATCAAATATTTTTAAAAGAGTTATGCCCCTTGGAAATATTCATTATATCGAAAATTACATTGTGAATTCTTGTCAGATTGTTATGAAATTTATATCATAGGTTTATATCAGCAATGTCTCTGACAATTTCGAAATTATGTGCTGATCAAATATTTTTAAAGAGTCATGCCCCTTGGAAATATTAATTATATCAGAAATTGCATAGTATTTGCTCTCAAGCCTTCGTTTCTCTAAGATATTTAAAAAAAGTTTTTAAGATAAAAACATTTTTTTTTTTAGTTTTTGCCCTAGCCCTTGCACTTTGGACAGATAAAATATGTGCAACGCAGGGGACATTGGAACTCTGTTCTTTTATCTATAAAGTTGTATTACTATCAGTACATATCAGTTTGGCGACTATTTCAAGGCCCTGTCCCCTAATTCAGCAACTTTGAATTAAATAGCAATGTTGCTGTCAATCAGATTGTCTTTTTTTTTTATTTTCTGTGTAAAGACTTTCAATAAATAAGCAATTTTTGATGTTAAGTTTTCTGCTTAAGTTAGTTTGTAGGAACTACTTGTGATAGATCAATGATATTTTCTATAAAGTTATATTACTATCAGTACATATCAGTTTGACGACTTTTTCAAGGCCTTGCCCCTCGTCCAGTGACTTTGAATTAATTAGCAATTTTCAATGTTTAGTTTTCTGCTTAAGTCAGTTTGATAGGAACTAATTGTGATAGTTGAATGATATTTTGTATTAAGTTGCATTACTATAAGTACATATCAGTTTGACAACTATTTTGAGGCCGTGCCTCCTAGGTCATGGTCCAGTAAATTTGAATTAATGAGCAATTTTCAATGTTCTAGTTTGATAGGAACTACTTGTGATAAAAACATTTTTATATTTAGTTTTTGCCCTAGCCCTTGCACTTTGGACAGATTAAATATGTGCAACACAGGGGACATTGGAACTCTGTTCTTTTATCTATAAAGTTGCTTTACTATCAGTACATATCAGTTTGACAACTATTTTGAGTCCCTGTCCCCCTAGGTCATGTTTCAGCGACTTTGAAATTAAATAGCAATGTTGCTGTCCATCAGATTGTCAATTTTTAAAATTTTCTGCCTATATGTAAGACATACCTCTGTGTCAACAGTTTATTTATATATTTTGTTCAAGAGTTATGCCACTTAGTTAATTTAAAAGTTGGGTTTCCAGATGATATTGGTAATACCCCTCGACTAAATCTTTTGAAAGTTGAAAACATTTAATTGTTTTTAGATTTACTCTTCAAAAGTTATGTCCCTTAGTTGATTTTGATTTCTGATGACATTGATAATACCCTTTGACTAGATCTTTTAAAACTTTTAGACATGCCATGGACCATAATACAAGTCATGTGATTCTAATCATTTTCACGTCTATTGTTCAAGAATTGTGGTCCTTAGTCAACTTAAAATTTGAATTTTTAACAATTTTTTCCAAAGGAAAAAAAAATTGTTAAATAAATGGGCAATGTGTCCATGGGACACAGATGATGCCCCCGCTTGCATATCATATCAAATTATAAAGGGACATAACTGAAGAATGGTAAAAGTGACGCTACCCAAATTTGTTATTGATCTGCGTTTTGTAGTAATAGGTATTGTATAAAAATTTCATAACATTTGGTTGAGGCAAACATAAGTGGGAGAACGGAAACGAAAAATTCAGCAATTTTTCCATTTGTAAAGGGGCATAACTCTAGAACAGTAAAAGTGACACCACCAAAAATCAAACTTGATCTGTATTTTGTGGTAATAAGCATTGTGTATAAGTTTCATAACCTTTGGTTCAGGCAAATTTAAGTAAGAGAACGGAAACAAAAATTTAGCAATTTTTTCATTTGTAAAGGGGCATAACTCTAGGACAGTTAAAGTGACGCCATCAAAATTCAAACTTGATCTGTGTTTTGTGGTTATAAGCATTGTGTTTAAGTTTCATAAAATTTGGTCGAGGCAAACTAAATTTAGAGAACGGAAACCAACTTTGGGACGTACGTATGGGTGGAGGTACGTACGTACAGATGTTCAGACGGTCAAGGGTAAAACTTAATGCTCCCTCCTCTACGTTTGGGGCATAAAAATGATAAAATATGGCAGGCTGGCTGCGGGCAGAAGCCAACAGTTTCTTTGAAATAGCTTATGAACCATTCCACCAATGCTTTTAAAATTTTTATATGTTGTTTCTGATGACAAAATGGAGATCAAGTGCAATATTGACAATTTTTACTTTTACTGTTCAGGAGTTATGGACCTTGATATGTTGGAAAATGCCACTTTAGGTCGATTCCATGCAGTAACTTATGAACTTCTCAACCAATGCTACTCAAATTTGTAGTTACTGATGACAAAATGGAGGTCAATTTCAACTTTGATAATTTTTTCCTGTACCATTCAGGAGTTATGATCCTTGATATACTAGAAAATAGCACTTTAGGTTGCTTCTGTGCAGTAATTTATGAATTGTTCAAGCAATTTTTTTTCAAATTTTAATTTGTTGATAATGATGACAGAATGGAGGTCAAGTTTGATGTTGACTATTTTTACTTGTACTGTTCTGGAGTTATGGTCCTTGATAATTTGAAAATGGCACTTTATGTTGTTTCTGTTGAATAACTTATGAATTGTTCAACCAATCCTTTTCAAATTTTTAATACTGATAACAAAATGGAGGTCAAGTTTGATATTGATGATTTGAACTTTTACCGTTCAGAAGTTATGGTCTTCGAAAAATTTGAAAATTGTAGTTTATGATCTTTCCATGCAAGATCATAACCGTTTAAACCAAGGCTTTTCAAATTTTGATATATTGTTACGGATTTCAAAATGAAGATTAAGTTTCATACTGACGATGATTACAATACATTAATTAGATATCAACCCAAGGTCAGGACACAAATAATCAAAAGACAACCAGACATTTTGTTATCAAATACAATGAAAGTCCCAACTATGTATTGGCTTCCGAAGCTACACAAAACACCTTACAAATATAGATTCATTTCGTCTTCAAGCCATTGTTCCACTACTAAATTGTCTATTCTTCTTACCAGTACACTTGGTACAATCAAAAACTTGATAATAAATTGTTCAAATAAGGCCTTCATAAATAGTGGAATTAATTACTTTTGGAGTGTCAAGAACTCGTTGGAAGTACTTGATAAATTACATGCATATATTGGTGATTTTGAATCTGTTCAAAGTTTTGATTTTTCTACCCTATATACCACATTGCCTCACATTCTCATTAAGAAAAAATTCACACACCTAATTAAATGGGCATTTAAAAAGTCAGAATGTGAATATATATGTTCAAACTCTTTTAGGTCATTTTTTAGTAGCAATAAACAAAAAAACTATGTCAATTGGACATGCTTTGATATTATATATGCCCTTGAATTTTTACCAGATAACATTTTTGTTCGCTTTGGAGATTCCGTATATCGTCAGGTTATCGGAATTCCAATGGGGACTAACTGTGCACCACTTATTGCGGACCTTTTTTTGTATTGCTATGAGTTACAATTTATGACAAAAATCAGCAAAGACCCATCGAAACAACATCTGATACACAAATTTAATAATACTTTTAGATATTTGGATGATATTTTGGCTCTCAATAATGACGACTTCAGTATGTATACTAAAGAAATTTATCCTGTTGAACTTACTTTAAATAAAGCTAATACTAACAATGACCACTGCCCTTTCCTCGATCTTGATATCTATATCATTAATGGAAAGCTTAATACTAAAATATATGATAAAAGAGATGATTTTTCATTTCCTATCGTTAATTATCCATTTTTAGATGGTGACGTTCCCTTGTCACCATCTTACGGTATTTATATATCTCAACTTGTACGATTCACTCGTGTATGTAACAATGTTTTAGATTTTAACGAGAGAAATTTATGTATTACTGAAAAATTATTACACCAGGGTTTTCAATATCACAAACTAGTCAAAACATTTACTAAATTTTATCATCGGTATAAGGACATCATTCGTAAATATAACTCAACATGCAGACTTCTTATACGTTCAGGTATTTCACATCCAATTTTTTATGGAAATATTCTTTATAAAGCACAAAAATGTCAGTATTCACCTCTGAAGCTAACAAAACCTTTAAATAGACTTATTAAGAAGGGATATAGGTACGATACTGTTGTCAGGTCATTAAAGATTGCATATTTTGGCGTTAATATTGATTCACTTATAGGGTCTTTGCATCGGCACTAAACACATTTATTTAAAAACCAGTTGTTGGCATGACACGGGATATGTTCTTCTCATATATGTTATGATGGTATGATACTAAACCCCTAACGGGAAGGATTGTGCCTGATATTCATATGATGAAGACATAATCTTTCAATCAGTTTAATTGAAGTCTGGAGCTGGCATGTCAGTTAACTGCTAGTAGTCTGTTGATATTTATGTATTATTGTCATTTTGTTTATTTTCTTTGGTTACATCTTCTGACATCAGACTCGGACTTCTCTTGAACTGAATTTTAATGTGCGTATTGTTATGCGTTTACTTTTCTACATTGGCTAGAGGTATAGGGGGAGGGTTGAGATCTCATAAACATGTTTAACCCCGCCGCATTTTTGCACCTGTCCCAAGTCAGGAGCCTCTAGCCTTTGTTAGTCTTGTATTATTTTTAATTTTAGTTTCTTGTGTACAATTTGGAGTTTAGTATGGCGTTCATTATCACTGAACTAGTATATATATTTGTTTAGGGGCCAGCTGAAGGAAGCCTGCGGGTGCGGGAATTTTCTCGCTGCATTGAAGACCTGTTGGTGACCTTCTGCTGTTGTCTGTCCTATGGTCGGGTTGTTGTCTCTTTGACACATTCCCCATTTCCATTCTCAATTTTATTCGTGCATTACCGGTACCTTATAAATCAGGAAATATTTGTTTGTGGCTAATTTACGCTATGTTCATGTTTGGCATTTTACTGTGAAATTTATCATACTCAAACATTTCACTGTCCAATGTGAAACATGAATGATAAACAAGGTGAATGTTTAACCTTTCTGAGGACTGTACCAGTAACTACAACCTGACCAAAAATCTTCACATATTGTTATGTTTGCAATGTTATCATTTATATTACAGGCTATTAACATTATTATATGACCTGGTTCGAACTAATGCTAGCTTGGCAGTCATGGCTGGTTACATCTTAAACAACTTGGCTTTAGATAAGAGGTAAGACCTATATGAACTGATGTATCTTTACTATATGATTAAAAAACTTGCTCCTTTTGAGTCACAATTTCTTCAAAACTTCTCCAAATCTATAAAATGGTAGAAAGTTTTGTGATGTAACATTTGATTGTTGTTAAAAGTATGATTTAACTTTGTATTTACTGAATTTACAGTATATAATTTGGTTTGTTTACCGGTATTGTAAAAGTTGTTGAATTTAATTTTTTATTTAGAACTTTCCATATATATGCCTGGACAATTTACAAATGGATACATTAAATATATGACTTAAAGTCAGCTAAAAGTTCCAAATTTCATAACGTCTCAACTAAATAAAACAGTGCTCCAAAGTTAACAAAAACAAGTATTCAGAGAACAATATGGTAAATGTATCATAGTTTACAGGGGCATTAGCTGCTTCATATCTCAGAATTAAATGGGAAGAGCTGGGTTATTCATATCTGGTATACAGATGTCTCACAGCTTACGGTTTAGGTCTAGCATATGGGTTAGGTTTATGGTTCATAAAAACTAGTTTTAATATCAAAGGATTTCATTTACTAAGAGTAAGAAGTCAGAAACAAAGTGCATTTGGGTCAGATATTTAACACAAGTCACAGTAATAATCATATTCATGTCAATTGAATCATGTGCCATTTTCATGGTTTATAATAAGTTATAGTAATAGCTAGCTGTATTTTCACATTTACATGTATAACCAAAACATGAATAAAGGAGGGGAGGTATATTTTAATGAGGCAGTAACCCAATGACACAAAAAATTAACTAATGGCAACAAACAGTCTTCAATAGACAAGTATCAATATCATATGTTAGTTTGAAATAGCTACAAGTCGTAGAAATGTTGTTACTTTGTATATTCAAAAGGCTTTGTCCTTTTACATTACCAATTGATTAAATATTTTACCTAATTGCAGTTTGAATTTTTCTCTTCAAACTGATCAACTGGTAAAGCATTTTAGCTCATTGCTTCAGTGAAAAGATGTTAGTATATGAAGCAAGTGTAGTGTAACCAAAATTTATTCTTGCGTCTAACCATCCAATTTCAGTGATTGAATGTATGCATTTTTGGCAAATAATTTATTGCTTTATTTTCTATTCTAACAGGAAATAATGGTGTACTTGTAATTTGGATATTTTTTTCTGTAATACTGTAAATTCAGAAATTTCTGTAAGATTTTTGTCGTGCCTGCGACTTTTGTCGCAGAAAGCTCGACATAGGGATAGTGATCCGGTGGCTGCAACAGCAGCAGCGTTAGCTAACTTCTTAAAAGCTTTATATTTTAGAAGGTGGAAGACCTGGATGCTTCGTACTTTGTATATAGATGCCTTATGTTACGAAGTTTCTGTCTGTCACATGACCATTGTCTTTGACCTCATTTTCATGGTTCAGTGACTAGTTGAAAAAAAAGTTAAAATTTTTTGTAATGTTAATTTCTCTCTTATTATGAGTAAAAGGATAACTATATTTGGTATGTGCATACCTTGCAAGGTCCTCATGCCCGTCAGACAAATTTCACTTGACCTCGACCTCGTTTCATGGATCAGTGAACTAGGTTAAGTTTTGGTGGTCAAGTCCATATCTCAGATACTATAAGCAATAGGTCTAGTATATTTGGTGTATGGAAGGATTGTAAGGTGTACATGTCCAACTGGCAGGTGTCATCTGACCTTGACCTCATTTTCATAGTTCAGTGGTTATAGTTAAGTTTTTGTGTTTTGGTCTGATTTTCTTATACTGTATGCAATAGGTCTACTATATTTGGTGTATGGAAGATTGTAAGGTGTACATGTCCAACTGGGAGGTGTCATCTGACCTTGACCTCATTTTCATGGTTCAGTGGTCAAAGTTAAGTTTTTGAGTTTTGCTCTTTTTTTCTAATACTATATGAAATAGGTCTACTATATTTGGTGTATGGAAATATTTTATGATGAACATGTCAGTCTCGCAGGTTTTATTTGACCTTGACCTCATTTTCACAGTTCATTGCTCCGTGTTAAGTTTTTGTGTTTTGGTCTTTTTTTTGTCTCGCTTGACGGAGTCAAAAAGCGAGACATAGGTATGCTGTTTCCGGCGTCGACGGCGACAACGAGGGTGGCAGCGGCGTCAACAATGTATAAGTTTGTGATTAGGTCTAGTTTATGGTGAACCACTAGTGGTAAGTCAATGATATTTGATATGCTGTTGTATTAGTATTGGCACATCTCATTACCATGGAGATTATGTGGCCCCGCCCCCTCAGTTATGGTATATTGAATTTGAAACTTTTGCTTAGTTTTCATGTATTAGTTTGTGATTAGGTAAGTTTATGGGGAACCACTAGTAGTAAGTAAATGATAATTGGTATGCAGTTGTATAAGCATTGGCATATCTCATTTCAATGGAGATTATTTGGCCACGCCCCCTCAGTCATGGTCTATTGACATTAAATTTTTGCTTAGTTTTCATGCATTAATTTGTGATTAGGTCAGTTTATGGGGAACCACTAGTTTAAGTTAATGATAATTAGTATGCAGTTGTATAAGCATTGGCATATCTCATTTCCATGGAGATTATTTGGCCCCGCCCCCTCAGTCATAGTCTATTGACTTTGAAACTTTCGCTTAGTTTTCATGTATTAGTTTGTGATTAGGTCGGTTATGGGGAACCACTAGTGGTAGGTCAATGATATTTAGTATGCAGTTGTATTAGCATTGGCACATCTCATTACTATGGAGATTATTTGACCCCGCCCCCTCAGTTATGGTTTATTGACTTTGAAATTTTGCTTAGTTTACATGTATTAGTTTGTGTTTAGGTTTGTTTAAAGGGAACTTCTTATGACAAGTCAATGGTATTTGGTAGTTGTATTAGCATTGGCACATCTCATTTCCATGGAGATTGTTTAGCCATGTACCTTCAGTCATGGTTCATTGACTTTGAATATTTGCAAAACTTACATGTTAAAGTGTTGCTATTTTAATTTCAACATTTCCATTATTGAAATTACAAAAAAGCGAGACATATCTCTGTGATAACAGTTCATCTTAAACTATAAGCAATAGGTCAACTATATTTGTTGTATGGAAGGATTGTAAGCTGTACATGTCTGCCTGGCATGGTTCATCTGACTTTGACCTAATTTTCATGGTTCATTGGTCAATGTTTAGTTTTTTGTCGAGCCTGCGACTTTTGTCGCAGAAAGCTCGACATAGGGATAGTGATGCACTCTTGTCTAGGTTAAGTCTGTTTCTTAGAAACTATAAGCAATAGGTCAACTATATTTAGTGTATTGAATGATTGTAAGGTGTACATGTATTTCTCCTTCGGTTTATGTGACCTTGATCTCATTTTCTTGGATTTGTTAAGTTTATGTGATAGTTGTAGTAAAGCTTTATATTTAGGACTATCAACATAATATCAGTGGTAAGTAAAGAAGGCAAGACATTTCAGCGTGTGCACTCTTGTTATTAATGTGAATAATGTGACAGGGTTAGTATCGCAATTATAAGAACTAGCATTTGGATTTCTGATATATATATATATCTTTATGTAGATTTTCCTGAAATCACAATAATTAAACTTGCATTTTTGTCCATTCTTGAAAATTGCAATAATAAAGGCAAGCAATAATTTCTGAATTTACAGTAATTGCTGATCTGCTGATTTTAAAAGGAAATAATTTGAATCATAAATTATTTACAGCAGAAACCTTATGCTATACACATCTTTGATTATGTTTTCAAAAAGATTTTCAATTTTTTGTCCTGCCTATATGATTTTGAAAATGTGAGACTTAGACGTGATGTTTGCAGTAGTGGATGTGTTGGGTACAAGTTATTTTTATGTATAATCTTATGACGTTGTCAGTGTCTTCGTCGTCGTCCGAAGACATTTGGTTTCCAGACAATAACTTGATTATAAGTGCATGGATCTCTATGAAAATTTGTACCACAAAATTCCATACCACAGAAGAAAGGTTGGGATTGATTTTGGGGGTTATTGTCCTAACTTTTTGGAATTAGGGGCAAAAAACAAGCATTTTTGGAAAATGACGCAGTCAATTTTCTTTTACCATTGAACAGACTTCCAACCCGCTTTCCGAACTCGTTTCCGTATTTTACATACTTAATGTACTATACAGAATTTCATTCTTTAATTTCTTAACCTGTCATACCTGCCAACTTTCAGGATTCAGGCGTGAAATACTCTATTTTGACCCCTTGTCACGATTGCACGATTGTCATTGTGTAAAAACCTCTAAAACACGATTTTGTTAAATTCTACACAAAAATAATGATTGTTTCCGATTTTGAACTTCCTCAAACTTTTCCCAAGGCAGACAACCGTGATTAGCCAATCAAAATCGTTGTTTCTCTTGATCTTTGGGTATTGTAAACTGCAAATGTGCTAAATTTTGAACTTGTTAGGAACTCAGAATTGTAGAAATCGTGATCATGGCAGACCAATTTTCAATTACAAGAAGGTTCTTACACAGCTTAAGAAGTAAATCATGACTGATTGACAAAGTTCAAAGATACAGTTCAACCATAAACATAATAAACAGTAGCTAATGGACAAATTTTACACTTATGGTAACAGATAATACATGTTGTCATTCTTGAAATTAAATTACCAAATCAATTTAAGTACAATGTTCTCTCTTTTAATTTTCACAAGGAATCAGATATATTTCCTTCTTTGTGGATATTTTTATATTTGAAAAGTCAACAATCACTTTAATATTCTTGTGACCAATAATCTGATAATCCACCTTTAATAAATTAAAAAAAAGACTTCTTCAAAAAAAGATTTCTATCAGATTCATCTTAGAATATGATCAAATATTTTATCCTATTTTAAACATATCTTTAATAACATTTCAATACTTATGGAAAGAGATATTCCATTTCTTCCTTTGATATTAAAGGATATACCAATTTTAATTGCAAAATTGAAGTTTGATGGATGTAAATAAAAGTTAATAAATAAAATTCCA